GTGTGTGATTCCCTGTGATCCTGTGTGTGATTCCCTGTGATCCTGTGTGTGATTCCCTGTGATCCTGTGTGTGATTCCCTGTGATCCTGTGTCTCACCTGTGATCCTGTGTGTGATTCCCTGTGTGTCACCTGTGTCTCCATCCTGGAAGCCCACTTAAGCAGGCGCTCTACTGCCTCTCGATCCTGCCAGGTTGGACGGGCCTACGCTGCGACACTGACATGAATGAATGTCTGCTGGAGCCCTGTGAGCAGGGACTGTGCATCCAGAACCTTCCAGGACATGGCTACAGCTGTTTGTGTCGGCCTGGGTTTGTGGTGAGTGCTCTTCTTCACACCCTCCTCTTCCCCTTCTTTTTCCCTAGTACTAGCAGAGCCGTTCTTCTTACTGGCTAATTACCCATCATTCCTCTCTCACAAGCTCGCTCTCTCTCAGACTGACAGGAGTGAGAGTATTTCAGTTTCTCCTCTGCCTGCTTGTACACCCAGCTGGGAGTCTCGTCGTAATTGCCCCCCACCGCCCCGCTCCCCCGCCGCTGCACATAAAGCTAATTTATACTGTTATTTAGGTGACTCTGGAGACGCTGGCTTTGTCTGAAATATGATGCCTTCGCGAGCCGGTGCTGTTTACACGGCCCCCTCCGGTGATGCCGTCTGATTTACCGCCGCTTGTTGCAGTATTTTATTTTGCGGTACTAAACAAACAAATCGGAAAACGATCGTGCTGGATCTGCCGCCTTAATCTATCCTGCATCAATGTTAACGCTTGTTTCATGTTGTCCAGACATTCCATATTAAAAGCAGAAGTTTTTTTTTACGTATTTTGCAAGCAAGCATTTCTCTGTTTCTGCTGCTACAGGCTTAGTTTGGTTTAAATCCCCTTCGATGGTGATCATGTGACCATTCATCTGCCTTTTTTGGCAGTGAGGCAGCTGGTTAGTCAGTACTAAGCAGACCCTCTCGTCCCCTTTTCTCTGCCTTTCTCTCACAGGGGAGGCACTGTGAATATAATTACAATGACTGCCTGCCACACACATGCCCACCTGATCACCACTGCCTGGGCGGCATGAATAACGTCACCTGCATCCCCATCGTGGCTGGTGACCAGACGGTGACCTTGGCCCCACAGGCTTTGTGGAACTCCGTACAGACGAGCCTGCCATCCCTGGCCGGCGAAACAGAGACCCTGAGAGAAGCCACCCGCATCTCAGGTACTTAGGCAGAGCGGGGGGGGCGGTAAGAGCAGGGTATTATAGGAAATATTAGTCATGTGACATACATTTTACTGCTCTCCCAGAATTCCTGTTACCACAAGAGGATACATTTATTATTATTGGTATTATTATTATTATTATTATTATTATTATTATTATTATTAAACATATTATACATTTATTTCCCAAAGCGTATTGTTCGGTTAAGCATGTTAAAAATGTTTAAATTTGTGCTTCCATCTAGCAGTGCCTATCATATAATCCCAGGCAGGGCTTCCTGCTGCTGTACTTCTCTGTTACTGTCATGTAAATGATCTCTGCACAATGTGAGGAGCCATTGCCACGGAAATCGATTACACCCCCCCCCCATTCACGCGACGGGACACACCGCTTGGGCTCTGGGGCTCTGGGGCTCTGCTGCCCCGTGGTCGGCTACGGGAGGTCACCCCATTCACACTGATTCAATGGCCTGAGAATTCAGACCTTAATGGAATTAGCATAGGGATGGAGACGCTTCATTTTACATTTTCTGTTTCGCCGACAGATTAGTTCATTTTATTAACAAAAACCTTTCAGTGCCGACACACGCTGTTCCAAAGACGGTCTAAAATAGATCCATAGTGCAGGTGGAATCGATGTCATTCACCATCCCCATTTATCTTCTGACTTTTCCTCCTCCACTTCTTCATAACTTTGGACCTTTTGGATGAGGAGATGCCCACAGACCATGAAGGCATGTGTTTCTGGGGGTTGCCATTGCGCTGCGTTTCTCGATTCTCCTTCTGAAGCTTCTGAACATTACGTGCAGTGTCTCTGTCCATCACGGGCATGTTTGTTGTGTGTATGTACAACTGAACAGAGTCCTGAGGAAAGGACATGTGACTTTGATAGAAGGGCAACTCCACTCAGCTGCGCCTTACAGTGTGATGGACGTCCTAATGGGCAGTGCTGTGCAAGCATGTATGCGCTGTGTGTTTTTGACCCCCACAGATCTGTATCTGCTAGTGCCCCCCCCCCCCCACCGCTGAGTCATATTCCATCCTGTATGATTCCTGACACCCCTGTTAATGATGATGTACCACGTTTACAGGAGTTACCCTTAAACCACTGTTGCACGCTGGGTAAAGGGAGGCCCAGCCTGTGATGAATGAGCGTTTGTTTGTGCTCACACCGTCATCTGAAGCACATCTAATGATGACGAATCATTAAGCGGATAAGCGGATCCTCACACTGCACTACTCTAGGCAGTCATAGGGGGCGCCGGAGTGTAGGTAATGTTAATTTGCAGAACATAACTATGCTCCCTGCTAAGAAGCATTTAAAAGCAATTACTGCTATATTGTAAAATATTCACTAATACAATGCTTTTTATTTAAATTTAACAGTCAATTCAAGCTGTAATAATCTGTTTTCAGCTGGTTCTGGCACTGATTAATGCGCAGAACATTGACATGTAAATGCCTCAGAGTAAAATGTAAAAGTGCTCCAGTTTAATATTCACTCAGAGAGTAATGAAATCAGTCGGTGAGGCGTCCTGTCAAAAAAACATTATTAATATCAGGTACTGGCAAGCTGATGTTGTCAAGCCAACGGTGACCATAGAGACACCATCTCTCTGGAATATTCTGTCTCCTGTCTGGTTCTCCAGGTTTCACCTGAATGAGTTCATAATGAACGCACTTTATGCATTTTTTATAATTAATATTAGAATAACAATGATCAGTGTAACTGTAAGCTCGTCTTGGAAAATGCTTGTTCAGAGCTTGGTCCTGATGTACCTGCTGATACTGCGAGATCTCTACTCCATCCCCCATAAATACAGCCCTTACAGCACAGTCTTCATCCCTCTTTCCTGATTCCCTTTCTCTCTTTATCCATCTTCTACTTGACTTTGGTTGATTCTCCATCAGAAATACAGGGCGTCATGTTTCACTGGGTAACCATTCCCTCTTCATCTGGCCTCTCAGTGAGGGCTTGTGCTGAAAACCCTGCACCACCTCAATCCCACCTGTAGGAGGTGCTTCGCAGCAGACTTCACCTGATGTTTTGAGGTCCTTGCACACACCTTCATGCTGGGAGTGGCTCTCATGTTCCCATAAGGCTTTTGACATCAGTCATGTGATCTCTTCTGTGAAGCAGGGCATGCCTTCTTATCAGGGGACTTATGTAACAAACTCATTACTGCCCCCTGTAGGCAGGATCATGCCAGGCACCCTTCGGCACTCATATCCTCATGTGGATTTCTTGCCTTCCCCCGCCTCTCGGGAGTTTCAGTCCCCTGTCCCCTGTCTCGAACACAGACCCCTGCCTCGAACACAGACTCTTACTCGAACACAGACCCCTGCCTTGAACACAGACCCTTACCTCGAACACAGACCCCTGCCTCGAACACAGACTCTTACTCGAACACAGACCCCTGCCTTGAACACAGACCCTTACCTCGAACACAGACCCCTGCCTTGAACACAGACCCTTACCTCGAACACAGACCCCTGTCTCGAACA